GGGACTCCAAGCACTTTGTTAGCTATTGTTATTATGAAAGAATTTGTCTTGGGTTCCAGAGTATTTGCATGTCAAGCAATTATACTTAAAAGGATTTCAGGTATAGGTAAGAAGATGAAGAGCTATTTGGGAGGGCTTTCCATCGCCCCTGAAATCAAACCCGTTCCTATACATTAACATCCTAAGTATAACCTGAATATTATCCTTTTAGTGTTCTTGCTCTTCCATATGTCCCCTAAGAAATGAGAACCAAGCACCAACCTAGCTGGAGGGGGTCTAGTCACCTGACTGCTAAGGGAAAAGGATCACACATCCTGCTGTCACTGACTTCTGCCTCTGCTGGTCTGGGACCTGGAGACCCTCCTGCCCATGCAAAAGCTGGAGCCCCTCTCCTCTTCTCTCACTGCCCCCGGCTCTAGAGCACACCCCCCTCCGCCATCCCTTTAGATCCTCTTAAACAACTCTATAAAGTGTCGAGGACCAACAATGTTACGTGCTAGTTTCAGACTAGAGGCCCATTTTATAGATGTCCAAACTGATGTTCAGAAAAAGAGGAAAAAAAAAGATTAAAAACTCATTGCTGTCGAGTCGATTCTGCCTCATAACAAGTCTACAGGACAGAGTAGAACTGTCCCATAGGGTTTCCAACGAGTGACTGGTGGATTCGAACTGCCAACCTTTTGGTTAACAGCCAAACTCTTAACCACCATGCCACCAGGGCTCCATAGAAAAAGAAAAATATATATATAGTGGTTCCCAACTGCTGGTCCCAAGAACTGATGTCTGTCCTTGTGGTGATGTTTTTGCAACATCAGGAAAAAAACGTAAAAATAAGAATAATGCAATCAGTTTTCCATAAAGTTGAAATTATTGAACTTTTAAATTGTGAGAATATACCCTATCTTCCTTTCTATGTATATGTAGGGAGAAGGTATTGAAATGCCCCTTCTATTATAAATGAATGGTGGGAACCGGGATTTGAAACTAGATCTTTTTAATATTTTCACTGCTTTTGATTACACTATTTTAATTACTTTTAGATAATTTAAAATAATT